ATTCATACCCACAATGCAAGATTGTTACGAGGTATCGTAAAGATCCGATGACACACGATAAGACTTCCAAGATCTTGCTTCACTGGAGCTTTTGGCTCGATGCTCTCGCGTCTGTCAGGTTGCGCCTATTTGCACTATCGTATTTTTTCCGGTTGAGCCACCAAATGCATCATTCAGAAGGTGGGCATGATTTTTTAATTCGCTCGTAATATTTTTGCATTAATCACGGTCTCATTAGGGAAAATTCGAGCTCAAAATGTGCGAATTAGCAGCTGAAAATGTGTGACGAATTTTTTGCTGAAACATTCTCTGCTGCATACTTGGCGTTCACTAATTAGTTACTTAAAATCATGCTGACCTGAAAAAATATCTACTACGTAAAATTCCACGTACATGATAATAGATCATAAATTATTTCTTCATGAAGACTGCTGAAACCTTATTAAGACTGCTGAAACCTTATTACCCATAACATCAACAACACAAGCTTTAGTAAGTTTTCGCCTGGGGGTTCTTGCATCTCCTAATTTTTTTCGTCTTTTATATGTGTTATACTTACGATAGCACAATCTTTACTGTCTGTCATTCCGTTTACTTTACCACGCATTCATCGCATAATCTCAGTGATCTTGCCTTTGCGCCTAACATCGTCGTGCTGCGGGCTCATTATTCGGCCGCGCTAGACGTTCTTTGACACTACAACGAAATCGCATTAGACGTGCCTCCGGCCCTCATAATGAATTATTCTGGATTATATAGACTTGGTTAGAATAGCTTGTGAGCAGTTTAGGCTCAACTTGTCTCCTTCTCAAAAGCTCTGACATCATAAAAGCTTTCGGTTGCATCCATTAACAGTCTACTTGCCGTGCACAGAGACTCTTTTTAAATCAACTGTACGAATGTTGAATTTTGGAGAGTTTTATGGTGAGCTATTTCCTGCCACTCTGAAATTTGAATTTTCTTGATTGTATTAATAACTGAAGCAAGTACAATATGGTAAAAACGTGAACGAGCGATCACTGATCCAGAATCGTCGCCCAATCTTACTTAGAAAAAAAAAGGTATTGGGAACATTGCGACTGGAGATTCGAATACTTAATAAATTACGCTCTTTGTGTACTGGTGAAGTAGTAATTTCCTGAGCATAATAGAAGTAATCGATATCTCATTTCTTAAAATATATATTTTTTTTGTATAACATGATGCAAGAAACCGATAATGCTGAATTAAATGCTTCCAAGAACACAGTTTTCGCGTAACTTTCATTGCACTGTTTACACGGTACTATTGCTGCTGCTGCTCTGTCTCCGGTCATCTCCAACCCTCATTTTTACTTCGAACGGAAGTCATTCGTTAGAAAACGTAGTTGTTTGTGGCATCTCATGAAAATTTGCTCGGGCCAATTTCTTTCCATGTGTATTCGGAGTCTTGACTGGTCGCAGCAATAAGGCAGCAATTGCAGGCCAAAGAAGATGTGAGTTGCGCACGGGGGTACAAAGCGCGTCTCGGGAAGTGACGCGCCTCCATAAGTCAGACGCTTCCTTGGGACGAGTTATTGACAAGCTCTTGTCTTACAGCTCCTTTAGCTAGGACTCCTTGAGACGAGTTATTGACAAGCTCTTGTCTTACAGCTTCTTTAGCTGGACTCCTTTGACGAGTTATTGACAAGCACTTGTCTTACAGCTCCTTTAGCTGGAACTCCTTGAGACGAGTTATTGACAAGCTCTTGTCTTACAGCTTCTTTAGCTTATTGACAAGAGCTTGTCTTACAGCTCCTTTAGCTGGAACTCCTTGAGACGAGTTATTGACAAGCTCTTGTCTTACAGCTTCTTTAGCTGCATGGACTCCATGGGACGAGTTATTGAGGAGCTCTTGTCTTACATCTCCTTTAGCTGGGACTCTTTGGGACGAGTTATTGACAAGCTCTTGTCTTACAGCTCCTTTAGCTGGGACTCCTTGCGACCAGTTATTGACAAGCTCTTGTCTTACAGCTCCTTTAGCTGGAACTCCTTGGGACGAGTTATTGACAAGCTCTTGTCTTACAGCTTCTTTAGCAGTGACACTTTGGGACAAGTTATTGACAAGCTCTTGTCTTACAGCTCCTTTAGCTGGAACTCCTTGGGACGAGTTATTGACGAGCTCTGGTCTTTATAGCTCCTTTAGCTAGGACTCCTTGCGACCACTTATTGACAAGCTCTTGTCTTACAGCTCCTTCAGCTGGAACTCCTTGGGACGAGTTATTGACGGGCTCTGGTCTTTATAGCTCCTTTAGCTGGGACTCCTTGCGACCAGTTATTGACAAGCTCTTGTCTTACAGCTCCTTTAGCTGGAACTCCTTCGGACGAGTTATTGACGGGCTCTGATCTTTATAGCTCCTTTAGCTGGGACTCCTTGCGACCAGTTATTGACAAGCTCTTGTCTTACAGCTCCTTTAGCTGGGACTCCTTGGGATGAGTTATTGACAAGCTCTTGTCTTACAGCTTCTTTAGCAGTGACACTTTGGGACAAGTTATTGACAAGCTCTTGTCTTACAGCTCCTTTACTGGGATTCGTTGGGACGAGTTATTGACGAGCTTTTGTCTTACAGCTCCTCTAGCTGAGACTTTGATAAGCTTGCTCTGAGCGCACCAGTCCAATAAGCTTCAACGTGCCGCGCTGTAAAATCCTTGACGTTGCAATCCAAACTTTGGATTATGAGAAAACTTAATCTGAATTCCTTTCATTTTTTCAAAAAAGATTCCAAACATTGTTTTCATCTGTTCGTTTCTCCCCACCCCACACTCCCGACTAGTCACCCCCAATCGCCAGACATCTCATGCAATCCATTGCCCGCCTGTACGGAGGCCCGGCGCTAGTTTGGAAAATTAACAAGATTGGGGCTTAGCTCGCGAGAGGATTGTGTCAAGCCTTATCAGGAGGTGGTGAGTGAGCACAAACCTGACCTGGATGCGATCGGACGCTCCAATTCATGGACTTTAACGCAGCCATTCGTGACCCTTGAATCTCGAATTTGTTTCAATTTAAAAACTAGTCATTTATTCTTTCCCAGATTACTGTGTGCTTCCGCTCAAATGAATACAACAAAAATGATTTCCATTCAAATCATCCTGGAACAGACAAATTAACACACTATCAATCTACTAACATTTTTGCAAACGAAATGATTACATACAAGCCAACCAAACTTCCATTTCTGCATTGCCTTCTGAAGTGAGAATAGAACTACGATGGTGAAGATTAAACTCTGACAGTTTTTTTTTTATAACGGCAGTCCGCTTCCGCGTCATCGTGAGCGCTGAACAAAGCATCGTTATCGGAAATTTGAGTATTTGAAAAATTTTTGACGGCTAATGACAACACACAATTTAACCCTTCTCGATTCCACCCATCTTCAGTGTCTCATACGAATCGGTGTTTTTATTTCAGGATCAGTATTTTAAGCGAGTTAAATGCATTGAGCTACGATTAAGCCTTCATCATTTCTTTTGGTTGGTGTTATCGCTCGAATCTTCTATCACAATAGATAAATGCCCCCAAGCAATTTCTCCTTTGAATTCTATAACATAATTTGAATGTCTCTGCCATAGCTGCAGCCGTCGTGCGGATAGCTAAGCTAACTCGGCTGCATTGCATCTCTTTGAAGTCGACTAGTTTCGCAGACACGCCTCCTCGGCTCCAAACCGACACGATTCTCTCGCAGCTGCTCAGGAAGCTGCACGACTAAGTGTGAAATTGTCAAAGCCGATCGACGGAGAGACAAGTGAAGGGAGAAATCAGCAATACAGACGGCAGTTATCCCGCGTGTGCTCTACCCGGATGCCTCAGATGTCGGTGAAAAACAGCGAACAATAAAGTACCTTCGTCGAAAAGTAATTACCGGCAAATAGTATGAAATGAGTATTGAAATTAGTTTTCTATCTCATTTTAGCGTCTATAAAAGTCATTTTGTCTGTTGAAACCATAAAGATTGTAAATCATTTCTATGTTTTGCGATGATGCCGCAGCAGTGAATCTTTCTCGCTCGCAATGATATAATGCACTCATGCTGAAAGTCGGTTCACAAACATCTGAACGATATAACTGATCCATAAAAAGTTTTTTAACCGTTCCGTACAAAAATATGGTACTACGCAAACTGAGCTTCGCGGATATTGTCAAACAAATCCTCTTTTTGGCGAGCGTTCGTATCTTCGGTCTTTCAGCTTGAATTGTTATTCATAACCTCGTAAATTGAGTCGAGAAATGGCAGAGCCAGAACATCTTTGGCAATAATATTCCAGAGCAATCCTTTGTGAATGCACCAGCCAAAATCCGAGCATGCGGTGGCGCGTGAAGGCTCTTTGTTGCTGCTGCGTATATCGAAGCCTGGGAGGGACCGAAGCGCTGGGATTTCCATGGAACAGCAGTCGTTGTGCTAAATATTATACAGAGCTTACGCAGCTTCATGGGCACAGGTTTTATGCGGTCATTTCTTCCGAAGAATTTCTATCCTGTTTAGACGGACAATGTAGACCGAAATTATTGCCTATCTTCATAAATATTACCGGGCTTTGCATGGGCGTAAAAACTTTTATTTGCTTCCAGGTTCCATGTTGTCACGTCTTGAAAAAGGTTGCGTTGCAAAAAGTACACAGTTGAAGAGAGTTATCACTTGATGATGTTTATTTACCTGTGAAATAGAGAAATGTATGTTCATATGCGACTTTAGAATTTTGAACACATTTTTTTAAATATTAGACATTTTTGAAACACTATACATGAATTTTCATGTTCAAGATTTAATTGAATATTTCGTTATTAGTTAGTACGTTCAAATAATATAGAAATTTAACAGCAACTTCGATTTTCTGGGGCGTTTTCCGTTGAGTGATACTACTACTGATCTCGTTGTTTTACATTAAAAACAAAATCCCTTTATTAATTTATTCTTGTTTCCGCTTGCGCAGACTTTTGCGTTCCTTCACAATTGTTGGTCTCTTGCAGGTCTTTCTTAATGAGAATTATGGTGACTAGAAAATAACTATTTATCAATATTTGCTTCAAAATTTCCAAGCAACCAATACTATTCATGGTGACTTCGGTCTTGAATATTTGAAAAAAAAAATTCAGGAAGAAACAACCTCGCATCGACAATCAACAAAGTTCGTTATACGGAATGTACTCCAATCCATAACCTCGTATTTGAACAACACTCACGGTGACATTTCCAATTTTCATTAAATGGTATCGGAGTCCTTGATACACGCTTAGTTTAGTGAAGAAATGCCAGTATGATGACCGGAGGACATGGTTCATCAGTTTGGCTGCTGCTGCTGCTGCTCTTATTGGACATCGGGATTGGTGTCGCTGCTGAAGGTCAGTTTTAATTATAACTTGAAATATTATTGAGGAATTTACTGGGTCATGTTGTATGCAAGTGTATGAAATTCGAGTGATGAAATTAATTTGGTTCAAGTCATTATCATCAATAACAAGGATCAGGGCAGCTACATGAGTCGTGTACTCACATTCTTTTATTTTCCTCTCCAAACAACTTCTCATATTTTTTTGGAGCCTTTAAATCTATTTATTTTTTTTATATTCTTGGATTTTTGGTTTAAACAAAATGTTGCACTATATTTAGCATCAAGATTAAGTTTTAAATATCAACATTATTAAATTCGATTATTACTACTATTAGTTGAACATAAATTGTTTTTACATTTTTTATGAATAATCATGAACTTGTACAATTAAAGTATTTTTTTAATTATGTCAGAATTTGCCGCAGAAGTTAGTACGTTCTCTTATTGATCAATGTTGGTTATTTGTAAATAAAATAAACCTAGGTATTACTTGTTGTTTAAACTGCGAGATTTGTTTCTACATGTAAAATCCGGCAAGGTAAACAACAGTGAGCGCGAAAGAGTTCAGGGAACCGTAAGTCGGTGAATTTCTATTTTCCTGAAATCAATATTATTGTTGCTGCTAGCGATGTGAATAACATCACTCACAATTATTGCTAATTATTGCTTCTAAAAGATCTAGATTTAAAATTACTATAGTTTAATATGGATAAAGTTCCCATGATTTGATTAGTTACTTGCATTTTTAGGTTTCTTTTTCAAAGGTCATAGCTGCGCGAAAAATTAAAACATCATATTTTCTGTTTTACATAACTATTTTGGTATGACCGTCAGTATGCTGATAAAACGAGCTTCTTAACTTTGAAAAATTGAAAAATTTCACATGTTCAACTCTCAAATTTTTTATGTGCGTTGTAAAATTCATTCTCAGAAAAACCATCTTTAATAAGCATATTTATATAATTGCTGTACTTCGATTCTTGTACATGATTCTTCTAGGGACGAAAAAATTGTTCATTATTTAAGTATTCATCAAAAGAAAAATGCTACTGTACCAACATAAGTTAGCGCATTCAATATGAATAAAATATTTAGCTCTACTCATCAACAACACCATTAGAGATTTTGACCTAAGGTCGTTAATCAGCTTCATCTTGTTTTTCTTATTCATTTTTAAGATCGCGGATTATTCAATATTTTTGTGTTTATAATTTTTACATCGAATCCGCTTCGGTTACAAAATGCCTAATAGCGCAGCTGATGCATTATTATTAGTGTCTTTGCATTATTTTTAGTGGAAAATTGCAGAAAGGAATTGAGAAAGCATTTTTTATCGCGCCTCGAACAAAGTTGTTCCTCTAAGTATTAGGAGCTGAAACATAATGAGGAAATAAATTGTCTATCAATAATTACTATGCTTTTATATGACATTGAAATATCCTTATTTACTATATGGTGTCAATCCAATGGAAGCAAGTCTATAAGTTGAAGTTAACAAGATCCGAAAACATTGACAAAGATATCAACAAAGGTTTAAATGTAAACGCTGTATGAAATCATTCATTGGCAAACGAAATTTTTTCGACATTAAATTATAAACGATCAAGAATCTTGGCAAGTATTCAAATACTTGCCAACATAATAAAATATTGTTAGCACCAACGCCGGCGCACGGCCCCGTAGATCTGCCTACAATGCAGGAAGCACTTTACTCGCTCGAGTTCCTTTGAAACTCTATTCTGCTTACTAAAACTATTAACAAACTCTTTACTACAAATTTTAAAGTTTGGGCTCCTACTAAACTCTATTCCTGTTATTTTTACGTCATATTATAAAAACTACAATTGCATTATGTGCTTCATGTTCGAGGAATCATCATGGGCTGGAAAATTAATTAATCAGTGATTAATTAATTTCCTCGTTAAAGATCGCTGTAACACCCCATTGATAATATTGCAGTTGACCCGCTCGCCCGTAATGAGCTCTCAGTAATTGACTTCTAAACTCTGGAGTTTTCTTTTCTTAGTCGCGTTCGATCAACTGATGGGATTCAGGTCTCATACACCAGGAGTCACGTTCTTTCCAAAAGTTCTAGCTCGAAAATCCTCTTGAAAGAACTGCTAAAGATTCCTCAGGAAAAATGTCTTCTTCTCTCCAATTGTTCGGCATTTCTCGGCAACTTGACTTGATCTTTCTGCTGAGTTTTCGAAAAGGAAGAAATAATGCAGAGGCGATCCTGCAGGTGTTAGAATTCGACTGGTTTAACACACGCTAATCCTCTGCAGGCTGCAGATGATCTCAATTTTGCCCTGAAAACATTGTGTAGAAATTATATGCAAGTTCACTCCAAATATTAGCTTTTGAGAAATGACTAGTCGACTGGCGTGTTTAAGTTATTGAAGTGAAAATAGACTAGATAGGACTGCAAAGTCGAATGGCGGAATTGAATAAATTGTGTGATTGAAAATGAATACTGTGATATGCCAGAGCAGCTGAAGAAATACCATTTTAAGGATATCAATCATTAATTTTTATATGCAATAAACTAGTTTGCTAACACTCCGAGATGAGTTAAATCATGTCTTTGCAATCGCCTAATCATCAAAGTATAGCACATTGTTTATTTATTTTAGAAACGAATATTCCATATGGTATATTTGTCAAAATAAGCACGGCAATAAATAATGTTCTATGTTCTGCTCTTTTTGCTTTATTGGCATTAGACGTTATTGATACTCTTGAATTTTATTGTTTTGAATGTCTTCTGCAGCCTTTGATCAATGTTTCCATCCATCAGGGGCACTGCAGGTAAAATACTGGCAATTCACTATAAAGTAATAGGCGCATGATGTTAATAATTAAAATATAATTCTAGCTGAACCCAATTGATCTTATGATATTTTCACACGCTTTAATTTTAATGCATACGATTGAACGCGAAAAAAATGAGGAGGCGTTTTGAAGTCTAGCTGTTAGACTGCAAGTTAAGAGTTTTAATTAAGGTTGGCTTTAAAAATGTGGTCTGCGTGCACATGCAGCAGTTCAGAAAACGCCGGCCACGAAACGAAGCGCCTGCGATGGAGTGGGAAAACTTTCCTACGCAAGTAAAACTGGTCAATTAAGAGGAACAAATAAACTTGTAGAGAAAACAAAGTGTTATCTATGTAAAGAAAACCAAACGTTTTCTTTGTAAAGAAAGCAAAATGTTTTCTATGAAGAAAGACCAAATATTTTTTTACGTAGCGGACGAAATCATAAGCGCAAATCAAAAATTTTATTTTCAGCCTAAATTATTTCGTGAATCACTACAAAATATTTTTCCCTTATTTTGATTTAACAAAAGATTCTATATATAATTGAGCTGCTAAATATTTTCCAGAATGTACAAATTTAGCAAGAAAATTCGCGATAAATGACTCGGACAACTTTAGTATTTGGTATTTGAATTTGGCTAAAAAATTAAAAAGGTAATTCTTGGCTTATGAACTTCTATGGCTTTCTCTGTTAGGATGATTACACTCAGGGATTTAAATTGCGTATAAATTATTGTGTAAATCTTGCTGTTAAGTTTCAGCTAAGTCATATGACGTTAAAAGATCCTGTAATTATCCAGGAAAGACGACCGAGCTTTGCATAGGAGCTTGAATCTGGCCGTTGCTTTTACAGGCTTGGACGTCGCGATTTGAAAGCTCCCGACCAGCTAGTCGACGAAAATGCAGAGATTAATGGCACGCTACTGTTGCGACATGGGTTATATATTCAGAGATTGGTTCAGGAACTAAGTCTGATTAATAAATGAATTAAAAATTGTTCTAAATCCTATTTCAAAACAATTTACATGAGTAAATAATCATTATGCTTTCCTGACTTGAATTCGCCTCTCACAGTCAATTTCGAAATTCATTATTTTTCCGTGAAATTAAAAGTGGGAGCAGTTCTGAAATTACTCGGTGTCTCGAAATCTACTTTAAATCGGACCAATAGGGCACAGTTAATTTTTCAAAACATTTAGATTCCCATTTTCAATATATAGGTATTTCCAAAATACATCAACAACAACCATTTACCGTAATATTATTTAGTCAAGCATTATTTTCTCGCATTGCCAATATTTGTTTTAAACGCGGACACCTAAAGGAAACTCGAAGCATGGACCCAAGCGTTTATTTTATGCATGACCATGCTTTGATGCAGCAACTTTTATGGCAGTGGCACTCAGGAGCATTTGTTTCGGCAGCCATTAAAGCGGACAGGCTTGCACTGTCGACGACACAAACCTCCTCTTTTTAATTATAAACACTGGGCAAGTTTTCATGTTAACATCCAAGTTTACGAAGAGCTCGAGTTAGCCTGCAACTGACGAGCCCGATTAGCGTAGTAATGAGTCACATGGAAATTGATAAAGTTTCACGCACAAACCATGCTGTTCAGATGATGTGGTCTGGGCGAAATTTCGAAATTTAATTGTGTTCTGGTAAAATAAAACATATTGAGAGAATAAAAACAAATGAAACCCAAGTGCATTCCTGAGGCGCGTCATACAACATATCTTTCTTTCGAGACCATTAGGAATTGACTAAAAAATATTTGTCCTCCTCAGCTGACGCAATAGTAATACCTCCGATCTTTTAGTTACAAACGTTTAAATGAAAATGCAGAGCTACTGCTTCTCTAAGTCTTATTTTATAGTTTCTTTACTTTCTTTAGATACTTTTTTCATTTTTATGTGAACTTGGCCATTTTCACGAAGGTGTAAAACCTTACAAAATTTTAGTATGTCGACGTTTTTTGTATGGAAAGAGACTTGGATCTGATCACGAAAGTTTCCTTAAACTACAACATAACTTCCGACAACAGATCCAGCAAAAACGGACTCAAATCTTTTCAGACGTCGTAACGCTGTGTATTCATTTGTAATGCTAAGCTGCATGAGGTCCACTTGACATCCAATGTGAAAAATTATCAAGCCTCTATGTAGTGGCCGACAATTTGAAATTAATCAATTGAAAT